ATAAATGAGTGTACAACGGACATAAGGAGGATGAGAGTGTGAGTAAGATACGTGAGTGAGACGTCTGTGTATGTGAAAGTCTCGGGAAACTGATGTGCTTGCTCCTTATTTGGACTGTGATGAGGGCGGGCATGAGGAATCGATGGCTGTTAAGACGATGAGGTGACGAAGATGAGAGCGTGAAGTGTGATGAAGAGAGCGAGTGAGAGTGTGATGTTTTCCAAGGAAGTTTTTTTTTTGAGATCTTTGAGAATTTTTGGAAAATTTATATGATTCGCTTTTTATTATGTTGTTTTCTGGTTTTTATTTACTGTATGAATGGTGTCGAGGATTTAGTTTTTAAGGAGTGATTGATACAGCTTCACGAATCAAATAATTATTCATGTTTATTCTCTTTTGAAACTGTATTATAAAAAAAATAACTGATAATTATTTTCCTAATAATTTCAACACAACGGATCAGGAAACAAAAAAAAAAGAGGAGGAGGAGGAAAAAAGGAAGAAAAGAAACGAAGGAAAGGAAGAAGAAAATAATAACAAACAAAACAAGAAATACTAAACAACCAAACCGAAAACCCCTATCTCCCCCCCACCCCACCCAGCCTCACCCCAATAAAACCGAAAAACGAAAAAAAAAAAAAAAAAAAATCGCCTTACCAAACTCCCTCCCTCGCTCTCCTCACGCCCTCGCCCCCCCCTCCTCACCCCCCACCCCGCCGCGAGTTCTCTCCACCGGACATCCGACGCCAAGGACAGGGGGCGATGCGATGACCCTATTCCCTCTCATCACTCAGGGGACGCTCGCCGGGGGTGGCCCAAGGCTGCCTCGTCGACGCCTCCGTCATCGGGAGCTGGTGCCTTCCGTTTTCTTTTTTTTTTTTTTTTTTTTTTTTTTTTTTGGAGGGGGGGGTGATGGGCGGGGTGGGGGGAGGGGAAGGAGGATATGCGCCATCTCGTCTGTTGTTTTGTTTTTTTTTTTGTCTTTTTTTTTCTCTTTTACTGTTTTTTTTTTATTTTCTCTCTCTCTCTCTCTCTCTTTTCTCCCTCTCTCTCTCTCTCTCTCTCTCTCTCTCCTTCCTCTCCCTCCCCTTCTCCCACCCACCCACCTCTTCTCCCTCCCTCCCCCTCTCCCTCCCATTTTACCCCCTTCCTCGACCTCCACCTCCCTCCCTCCCTCCCCATTCATTAGCAGCTCCTGTAGGCGGCGCTGAAGGCCCCTAGTGTCATCAACGCCGCCACCTTATACCTTGAGGTCGACCTTGGCCTCGGAATGGTTACCCGCTGGAGGTCTGAGGGGAGAGGGAGGGGGAGGAGAGGGGAGGGAAGGGGGAGGGAGGAGGGGAGGGAGGGAGGGAGGGGAGGGAGGGGGGGAGAGGGGGAGAGGGAGGGGAAAGGGAGGGGTTTCGAGTTCTTTTATTCCATTTTTCTGTTTCTTCTTGTCTTGTCTTTCTCCTCCTCCCTTTTCTTCTTCTCTTCCTCCTCTTCTTCTTCTCTTCTTCCTCCTTTCTTCCTCTTCCTTCCATCTTCTTTTCTCCTTCTTCATCTCCTCCATCTCCTCTTCTCCCTCTCCGTCCTCCATCGAGTCGAAGTTTAGGACAAACCGGATTTAATTAACAGATAGGGATTTAACAAATTATCATCATTATTATTCATTATTATCATTATTTATCATATCATCATTATCATTATTATCATTATTATTATTATTATAATATTATATCCTTTACTTACCTCTCTCTGTCCACTCTCTTCGCCCGTGCGTGAGGCTAGACAAATATAACCAGCAGATAAATTCCTCCTCCTCCTCCCCCCACCCCACCCCACCACCACACACCTCTTCTCCCCCTCTCCCTCACCCCCCCCCCCTCCATAAAAACAAAAAAAAAAAGGAGGCTAGGGACAATATTATGAATGAAAATGAATGAGATACCGGGTCTCGATCAGCATCAGTTGTATCAGCTGACTGGTGTTTGATCGTACAGTTTGGTGGGGGTGGGGTGAGGAAAGGGGGTTGTTGGTGGAAGGAGGAGGGAGGGAGGGAGGGAAGAAGGGGGAAGGAGGAGAGGGGAAGAAGGGGAAGAGGGAGAGGGAAGAGGGGGAAGGGGAGGGGAGGAGAGGAAGAGGGAGGAGGAAGAAGGGAAAGAAGGGGGTTAGTTGAGGAAGAAGAAGTTGGTTTGGGGAAAGGAGAGGTGGAGGGTTGGTTAAGGAAGGAGAGAGGGGAAATGGGGAAATGGAGGAGAGAGAAAAAGAAGAGGAAAGTGTGGGCGTGGGGGGGGGGGGGGGGGGCGTAAGGGGAGACCTTTTGAGTCCGAGTCATTATCGTGGCCAAAGGAATCGAATATTGAATTGTTCTTAAAGGAAAGGAATTGTCCTCTGATTGCACATTATCATCTAATTATCTTCTGATTACACATTCTAATCTGATTCTCATCTAATTACACATTCTAATTCAAATTCTCCTTTAATTACACATTCTAATCTAATTCTCCTTTAATTACACATTCTAATCAAATTCTCCTTTAATTATACATTCTAATTTGATTCTCACCTAATTACACATTCAGATCTAATTCTTCTTTAATTACACATTCTAATTTGATTCTCATCTAATTACACATTCTAATCGTGGGCAAGAGAACCGGAAGTTGGAATTTTCTTGGTCTTGCAGTCAAGGGAAAGGAATTCTTTGCGGCTGATGGCTTCAACAAGCATCATTTTTCTTTTTTCTCTCTCTTTCTCCCCTTCTTTCTTTCTGTCTTGTCTGTCACAGTCTCACGCTTTTGTTTGATTTTTCATTCTGTCTCTGTCTCTCTCTCTCTCTGTCTCTGTCTCTCTCTCTTTCTCGCTCTCTCCCTCTCCTCTCTCACTCCCTCTCCCTCTCTCCCCTTTCCCTCTCTCCCCCTCTATTTCTGCTCTCTCTCTCTCAGTCTCACGCTCTCTTCCTCCCTCCTCCTCCTCCTTCTTTCTCACACTCTCTCCCTCTCCCCCCTTCCCTCCCCGCATCCCTCTTTCTCTTCATCTTCCCTACCCCTCCCTCCTCCCCCACCCCCACCCCCCCACCCCCACCAACACCCACACCACGAGAAATGCAGAGAGTGTGGGAACGCGGCTCGGTCCGTGCTCTCCCTCCGCTTACCTTATCCACTAGAACAACACACGGCGGAAACTGCAGCTGCAACGGTGCCCTTCCCCGCCTCCTCAGCTGCCGGGGTTGATGGAGATCGCAGAGGGACGTGGCGAGAAGCGTGTCTGTAAACAACGCTTGACCTGCAGGGAAAAAGTGCCCAATTTTCGGGGAGAAATCCGCGAGAGTGCTTTGCAAGGGGGTGGGGGTTGGGTAGGGGGTTGGTGGTGATGGTGGGTAGGGGTGGGTGTGGTGGGTAGGTGGGTGGGGTGTATAGGGGGAAGGAGGAGGTCAATGTTCGGAAAATGAGATGCGTTTTAATTTTGAAGCGTTATTATTATTATTTTTTTTTTGGGGGGGTTGGATTTTGGGTATTGTAGTTGCGAAGGAGGAGGGGGGGTGGGGGGTTTGGGGAAAAAAATGAAGGAGTACTGGAAAATTATATGTATACACATAATCTCTTTCCCTCTCTCACTTTCCACTCTCTCTCTCTCTCTCTCTCTCTCTCTCTCTCTCTCTCTCTCTCTCTCTCTCTCTCTCTCTCTCTCTCTCACACACACACACACACACACACACACACACACACACACAACACACACACACACACACACACACACACACACACACACACACACACACACACACACACACACACACACAAACACACACTTTCCCGCACAGTTCCCAAATCGTATTCCAAGCAAATGATGCAACAACGCACAAAGCCAAAATATGGTATGTGATGACATTTATTTCATTGTCTATTCATGTTTGTGCAATGTACACGTCGTTGCCTGTCACGCCTCGTATTGCAAAACATCTTATTGCTAACTTTATATGAACCAGAAGACATCAACTTGCTAAACAACCTTCGAGTTAGCTAATGTTAATAGAGTTGCACATTTGGGAACATGCGATCACATTGCTGTTAGTTCATGTCATCTTTTTTTTCTCTCCTTCCTTCCCTCCCCTCTCATTCTCTCTCTCTCGCCCTCCCCCCCCTCCCTCCCCTCTCTCTCTTTATCTCTCTCAATCTCTCTTTCTTTCTCTCTCTCTCCTCCCTCCCCCTCTCCCTCCCTCCCTCCCCTCCCTCTCCCTCCATCTCTTTCCCCCAATCATTCTACTCCTCCTCCTCCTCCTTCTCCTCCCTTCTCTCACTTATCATCACCATATTGCCATGTTATCTGCGCGCGTGTGGTGTGTGCCTCTTTCCCTGTGACCGAAATCCAGAGTTTAATACCCGCATAATACACATTTGGACTTAGTCTCTCGAGCTAGATATCCAACAGCAACAAACAGCCGACCCGAACGCCTGGGATCTTGTGTACACATCGTAAACATGGTTGTAGATGTTTAGTACCGAGGCGAGTGGGTTGCGAATATGATATAACTATTTTTTTTGCCGATTGCTGCTAACAAGGAAGTGGTGTGTATGTGTAATATTGGTGATTTTATGAATGATTCATGTGTAAGGCATATTGCGTCGTGTGTGTGTGTGTGTGGGTATGTACATGCATACATGTATACACACACATACATGCTGCATATGTACTCATATGGAAATGCTACATTGTAACCAACTTTTTGAATCACATTTTGTACACACATGGCATAAAACCACTATCATTATCATTATCCTCACTATAATTATTATAATTACCAATAGCATAGCCATTAGCGTCACCGACATCATTATCAGTCATAGCCATTATATTTATCATTATCCTCATTATTATATTAAATACATACCATTATATCATTATTCATTATCCTCATTATATTATACCAATATCATATTAACATACATCATCAACCCTTTCCTCATCCCCAATATTATCCTCATCATTAATTTCCCTCTCTTCTTCTCCCCCCGCAGGACGTTCCCACGACTCGACCTTCTCCCTCTTCACCCTTGGGGAGGACGCGTCTGAAGGCCTCAAGAAGTTCGCCGAATCGGGAGACACGAACCTCCTCGACGCCCACAGCCAGGGCTCCGGGGGCGTCATGGATGAATTCAACGCCCCCCCGATCCCGCAGGGCGTTGGGGAGACATCAGCTGACTTCTTCGTTGATGGGAATCACTCGAAGGTGCGTTGGGAATTTTGTTTTTCGTTTGTATATTATTTTTATTGTTAATATATTTTTAGGTTATTTATTTTCATTTTGCTTTTTTACATTGGTTAAAAGTTTATCGGTATTATTTTTTATTGTTTTATTCTTCAGTGGTGGATTAGAAATATTCGGATCGTAATGAATAAATAAATAAAACGAACATGATTTTCTTTACCATTTTCATACGTACCGAAACACTTTATCAAATCTATCTCTTAATGCAATAAATATTAATCTCTCTTTTTATATTTATCCACAAAAGAATAATTGTTGAAACACCCCTTAAATCAACCTCAACGTTAAATTAATCTTTCTTCTTTTAATTTCATCAAAGGTGTCGCTGATCTCTCGCGTTGTGCCTTCTCCTGACTGGTTCATCGGCGTGGACTCCTTCGACCTCTGCGTGGAAGGGAAGTGGGTGGAGTCTGTCGTGCTTGAGGTGAGACCCGTTTTCTTTGATTAGGAAGGTCCCGTTTTCTGTGTATTTCTTTTTGGTGGGGGCGTTTCCCGTTTTCTGTGTTACTGGGGAATATCCCGTTTTCTGTGTTACTGGTGAATATCCCATTTTCTATTACTGGTGAATATCCCGTTTTCTATTACTGGTGAATATCCCGTTTTCTATGTTCCTTTTCTTTAATTGCGAAATACCCGTTTTCTCTTTACATATAGTTCCAAACACTCCACCTTTTCACTCATCCACCCCTCCTTCCTCTCCTCCTTCCAGCTGGACCCGCTCGACGCCGGCACCGACAACGGCTTCACCTTCACGTCACCGAACTGGCCGACCATCCCGAAGAAGCCCGTGAGCCGAATTACCGCCCAGACGCCCGACCACCCCGCCAACTCCTTCTACTACCCCGACCGCACGGAGCACCCGCCCATCGCTACCATTCGCATCTTCAAGGTGAGGTTTTTGGGGGGGTTTGTGAGGGATATGGGTTGCGGTGGGGGGAGGGGTCGAGGAGTATGGGGTGTGTGTGTGTTTGAGGGATGGGGGGGGGGTTGTAGGGTGTGTGGGGGGGTTGTTGGGTGTGAAGTTTGTACGGTGTGGGGTTGTTGGATGGGGTTGTGGGTGTAGGTGTGAGGGCGTGAGTATGGTAGACAAGGAAGGTCTTTAGGAATAGGGTTTTAAGATGCACATAGAAGGGCACCCAGGGTATGAAAGGGGGCGGGGCTTCGACCAAGGAGCTTTGAAGGGGCTTGTGGAAGTGGGTATAGAGATATGCCAGAGTACAGAGGCGTTTGTAAGAGAGAGAAAAAAAAATAGAACATAAAGAATATCAGTAAATGAAGAAAATAAGGAAAAATATTGGGAGCGTAAATAAAAAGAATAACACAAACAAATACGAATGGAAGTGTAAGAAGAATGAGAAAAAAAACTCTTAGAAATTGGAGATAAGAGATAAGCAAAACAAGGACCGAACACTAACTGTTGCAAAGATAAGAGGAACTAATGGGTGATTCGGGAATAGGATGTAAGTAACAGCTACTTACACTGCTCACCGTCTTGTTAACGGCCACCAGCCAACCGGTCATCAGGAAGTTAACAAATGCAGGCGTTAAATTGCCTAAATTGCGGGAGGTAAATGGTCTACATTCAGAAAGTAGGCGGTTCTTTGTCTCACGCTAATGAGGGGTCGTGTTTGTGGCTAATGACCACAAATGACTTAATTCGGTGGTTGGGTCTTGTTAGCTAAACTGTGGGAAATAGAGATAAATGCTAGGTAGTCAGCCGGTCGTTGTCCTGGTCACGTTAGATTACGAATGAAAGGGTTGATTTACACACACACACACACACACACACACACACACACACACACACACACACACACACACACACACACACACACACACACACACACACACACACACTTGTTCACAGAATATAGTTTTTGTATAGACTAGCCTACGTCAGTGAGATTGTTGATTCACAACATCCGCCGAAGATAGTTGTTTTTTTTCATTTATTTTATCGATTTCTTCATTAATTTAGCTTTTGCTCTATCCAAGACTAATTTTACTTGTAACGTTGCAACGCTAGGAAACACCAAACACGAGGTTCGACCAAACAAAAACAATAGTCTAAGGAACAAGGTCTTCGTGTCCCTCTGGTGGTGGGTTTGAGAAGGATCATCATCACAGGTGCAGTCGTGCTCACCGGCTGGAGCTGTGAGTCTGATGGAACACTCTTCCTCCCGTTGGCGTCTGCTGGCAACTACCACCGCCCTGCTCCTGCTCTTCTACTTGTCACATCCGGGGCTTCCGCTGTAGTGACGAATCAGCTGTTGAGGAATCAGCTGTTTGGCGAATCAGCTGTTCTTATTTCTGTTTTGGAGTAGAAAAGTGTGGAAAGGAGTTCTTGGGAGCGGAGGGTCGTACCAAAGACACCTTTTGAGAGTAGTTGATTTAGTTGTTAGGAGTGTGGAGTGTAGAGACAGGGAGGTTGTTTGCATTTGGATTTTATCGATGTGCACCTCGATAGATAGGTGGGATTTGCACTTGCATTTCCCTTGTAAGGTTTTAGCAATCCTAACCAACCAATTTTGTATCCCGTTTTATGTTCATGTGTCTCATTTATGTTTTACTAATACTGTAATGATATTTTTTATTGTTTGCTTGAAAATAAACGCTTTGTAGTGTCCAGTATGTCTAAATTTTATGAGTCCCAGTTGGAAAAGTATACCCAACAGGTCACATGTAAGTAAATCAGACACCCATGAAAGAATGAAGTAGGCCTAGATTACATGCATGTAAAATCAACAGCAAATATAAAAGTAACGTTAATAATAATATACAATGACAATACAAGTAATAATAAAAAAAGTTATTGTAATAATAAGGATAATGAAAAAAATAATGATAATAGTAATAATAGTAATGATAGTAATAATAATAATAATAGGAATGATAATAATAGTAATAATAAAAGTAACAATAATAGCAATAATAATAATGATGATAATAATAATAATAATAATAATAACTATAATATTAAAATTAAAGAATAATGCCAGCAGACAAAATCCAACCACAACTCACCCACGAGACGACACCCCCTGACCCCCCCACTCCCCCCTCTCACCAACAGATCAAGGAGTACGAACTGGCGCGCGTGTACAACCCTTCTCTCGCCCGCTCCCCCGACCGCCGTTACCGCACAGGAAGCATTCCCACGACCCCTGAACTCGAGGAAACCAGAGACCCAGAAGTGAGTAACGAGATCCTCCCAGCTACCACGCCTACTACCACCACCACCACTACCACGGAGGTCCCCAAGCATGCACTCATCAACACGATTGTTGACAAATACAGGAAGAAGTTTAGAAAGAACAGGAATGGCAGAAAAATGGCAACTCGTAAGTGTGACGACAAGTGATAGCCATCCAATGCTTTGTTCGCTTGTTAGGTCCTTTGGCTTTTGGGGGAGACTTGGCTGGGCACTTTGCAAGTCTCTCGTAATGAGGGTCTTTTTCATGAGGACATTTATCGTTTATTGGACGAAATAAATGGGGTTATAGTAAAATGTCTCTTGAAAGGTATATTAGAATTCTTGAAATGTATCATTTACTTTGGGGTTATAGTAGACTATCTTGAATGTATCATTTGACAACAAAAATGGGGTTCTATTAGATTGTCTTGAATTTATTATTTAATTGATAAAAATGGGTTATATTAGATTGTCTCTTCAATTGTATCTTTTAATGGACAATAAAATGGGGTTATATTAAAGTTCCTTCAGATGTATCATTTAATGGGTCCAGAGAAAGGGGTTTTATTAGTTTTTCTTTTATGTTTTTTTCAACATAGCCACTTAGTAATATGTGGAGATCCTCACGAAATCGCCCTGCCGTGTTATGTTGTACAGTTTCGCCACTAATACAGTTTGCATGGTAGAGAATAGTGTCTAACCGAACCCAAAAACTTTTGTAAAAAGACGTATTAATTGATGTAACTATATTTCTTCTGCAACTGATTTTCGTAACATTTATCTTCGCTAACTCTTCAATGTATCTAATACTCATCGGAATAAGTTGATATTTTGATCAATTTCAAAAGATGATATTCCAGACAAACATTGCTTCTCAACAACAATGTTTACTTCCTAAATTAACTAGCATGTCTAACTTTTTAATGGTGTGTGGGTGTGAATAGATACTATGTATGTATATATATATATATATATATATATATATATATATATATATATATATATATATATATATATATTGGTATTGTTATTGATTTTGATATTGATATGTTGCTCTTTTGTGTCATGATTATTATAAGTCTTATAAATGCAATCAGTAAATGAATGATTAAACTATAAACGAATTCCCTTTTGCATCTATTAAATCTTATCATAGATAAACGATATCAAAACCAGCAAGTCAAATTGCAATCACAGTGATAATTAACTAGTCAAGAAACAAAAAATCTCAGAACTTATAAGAAAACAAAGAGACACAACAACAAAACCTCTTGCTGGTTCGGATATCTGTCACGCCTAAATATCTACATTTTTAAAATGCATATCTTAAAAAAGAGAAAAAGAAAAACGTTCTGTGAAGCAATATAAAAAGTTCGTCTGTTTTGGAATGAAGGAAGGAAAATAATGCCATAATTTCTCCAGGCCGTAGGCGTGGCCCTAGGGATTGCCGTGTGAGCGAGTGGTCAGAGTGGTCCTCCTGCAGCAAGACCTGTGGCATCGGTGATCAGGTGAGTGGACAGGGAGAGGGTGAGGGGGGAAGAAGAGGGAGAGGGAGAGGGAAAGGAGAAAGAGGGGAGGGGGCAGAGGGTGGGATGAAGAAAGAGGGAGGGAGGGAGACAGGGAGAGGGAAAAAAGAGGGAGAGGGGATAGAAGAGGGAAGTGAGAGGGAGAAGGGACAGGGTGCAAATAGCAGAAGGGTATAAATAGCAGGGGAGGAAAAGAAAGAAGTAGAAATAGGATGAAAAAAGAGAATAGAAAGACATACTGACTTATTCAGTATGCACATGTGTATATACATATCTATACATCCAACAATCTACCTACCTACCCATCTTACCAACACCTCTCAATCCACCCATAACGTACACACCAAACGCCCACTCAACCCCCACCCCTTCCGCCCTGCAGATCCGCACCCGAACTGTCCTGAGGCACTCGAGGCGTGGAGGACGCCCTTGCCCCAACCTGCAGGAGACCCAGTGGTGCGGTTCCTCGAGAGACTGCGACCACAGATACTTCAACTGGTAGACTACGAATTGGAAGACGAGGGATATGAAGAGAGAGAGAGAGAGAGAGAGAGAGAGAGAGAGAGAGAGAGAGAGAGAGAGAGAGAGAGAGAGAGAGAGAGAGGCTGAATGACTGTCTGTATTATATTCTATGTTAATCATATGATAATAATCATAAATTAGTGCGCATACAAACCTACACGTCCATGTAACTATAAGTTAGTGAGAAAACAAGAACAACAACTTTATTTTGCATATTTAAGTTTGATTAACAAGCGAAAGGGTTTTTGGAAATTGAAAAAAAAACAAGAACAAAAAACAGTATGTTCATTTGGCTTACCAGTGACTTTAATGGAATATCGTTAAAATGTAAATTGTATCATGAAGTGCCAAATTGAAATTCCTCCGAAAATAACTTTTGTAAATTAATTGTCACAGTTGTTAATAGGTATGCACATTTCTGCTTAATTTTATACGAGCAGATATTCGCAAAAGGACAAAAAAGAAAACCAATACGATATTAATACTATTAGGAAACTGTAGATATTTTATTGTGAATATAATAGCTTTTTGATAATGCCAAATCTTATATTACAAACCTGGTAGTAATATGTAAACTATAACTGCCAATGAATATGTAGTATCGATACCTACACTGGTGATTGTAATCCCACAAAGCCGGATTATTCAGAAGAAAAAAAAATTAAGCAACCCCACTTCCGTTGCCTTGTGGAAGCGGGCGTGCAAATCCCCTAGACTTTCACGCGCGGACCCCTCTGACGGGAAGAAATATCTGGGGGAGAGAAATGACTGACTCTGTAAAGGCGCTGTTTAATTGTGATCTCTAATTGTAATTATTTGTGTTCAAATCTAATTTTCCTTTTTTTTTCAAGGGAATTCAGTATCCAAATCAAATTATAAAACTTATCGCCATGCGGTTAGCGAGCATTCGACAATTTCATTTTCAATTTGATTTACATTGTTCTGACATTTAATGACTTTAGTCTGTTTGCCAATATTTCTCTAAACCCGAACCAGTATACAAGTGTATGTATAGAAGTGTATATCTATCCATCTATATATATTATATATATATATATATATATATATATATATATATTATATATATATATTATATATATATATATATATATATATATATATACATATAAACCACAAGTATACATGTTTAACTACTGCAGAAATTCTGGCACCATAAAACGATTTCTTGCCATCTCACAGAGACCCGTACTTCGCTTGTATATAGCCCCCGCAGTGAAGCCCTCGAGAGTGCTGCAGCCCATATGTTTTAGGAGTCCTAACGATGCCTGCAGTCACGTGTCCCCTTCCGTTCCCTTGTGTGTAGAATCGTTAGCGCTGTCTGACTTCTGAGAGACAAAAAATAAACCATTTGGATTTTTTTTCTACCAGTAAATGGATTCGATAGGGGTTTGTTAAAAAAAATGGTTACCATTGTTTACTGCAATTGGGTAATGAGTAAAGACACTTATTGTTTCTGCAGATAAGGTTTTCTCTATGATTTCCTCCAGCACGGACATTTCAAACGGTTTCCACTGAGCTTATAGGCTGAAACTCCTCTGTACAGCTCTTCTTCCTTCCTTCAAAAGTGAACTCAAATTATTATTATCATTATCATTATTTCCTTATAACCCCGAAGCCCACCAAGACTTGAACCTCGGTCTATGATTCTTCTTCCACACTTTGTTCTCCCTTCCGAACCACTCTTGATTTTCTTCTTCGTGTATATTGTACATAAAGTCCAATTTAGCTTAAGTGCTTTGTGAATATTCGAAGGTTTAAGCGTCATTTAATACACACTTATACGTTAACACAGGAATAGACAAATTATAATAATGTAATCAAAGATAATGGAGAAGGTAACGGCTGTTGATCTTCAGATATTAATGTACTTTTAAATGCTTTGGAAAAAAAGAACATCCATTTTATATATATTGTGATCTTTGGAAATGGAAAAAGGCAGAATAGTTTATATGGAATTTTGAATTCATTTTTTTCTTTTTCTTTTGTTTTTAAAATTAAAAGAAGGTGAAAGAGTATATAGAGAGAATACAGAGTTATAAAAATATTCAAAGGTCCGTATGTTAAGTCATATTACATGATCACACTGTATGTCTGTTAATGCTGAGAGAAACTGTGTATGGTGTTGGAATCAGCTGTTTTGACACAGCTGAACGGTATCAAAAATTTTATATTTATGAAACTCTTTGGATGTTATTTATGTGAAATTTTGTATATGGAATGTGAATACCTTTGTAGTGTGAAGTGTGAATGTGTCAGCAATGTGATTCTATACTGATATTACAAACTATATCGACTTTCTTGTCTATCAGAGATGCATTTTATACAGCAATATGTGCATAGTCACAAAATTATTTATGTGTTAGGTAAACGATCATTGTATATGCAGACTGTATTTCTAAAAGATCTAGTAATTTATTGTACATAGGCAATGCGTATATTATCTAAGGTTAGCTAAGCTTCTAACTGATGAAATTTGCAATAAATGTGTAAAATTCTTAATAAAGATGAAAAATAATGTCATGATTTTTCTTTACAACTTCCTTACCAATGAGAGTTAAACAGAAATATGAATAATTGAATAAGAAATTATACATACATTCTTGCATACGAACGACACACACACACACACACACACACACACACACACACATATATATATACACATATTATATATACATATATATTATATAATTATATATATATATATATATTATATATATATATATATATATATATATATATATATATAATATATATATATATATATATATATATATATATATATATATATATATATATATATGTATTTTATGCGCATGTTATATGATTAATACTTCTTGGTGAATAATGAAAACCAGGCAAACCAAAGTAAAACAAAAAATAAAAAACAAAAAAAAAACTACATAACAACAATAACAACGATAAACAAACCAATAAACAAGCAGACAAAGAAAACCGTTTGCCACTTAACACAAACCACTTTAAACGAGCCTCTTCTTCTTCTGACCATGATAAGCGACATGTTCCCGACATCTCTTACGGATCTCAAGGCACTCTGTTTGCCGATGACTGTGCAACGTGGCACTCGCCCAGAATTGCACAACCGCTGCAGACAGAGTTCAAGCGGTCTCGTCGGCTGTCACTGTTATTGCTGTTATGCTGCGGTAAAGGTTTATGTTATTACTTTTATTGCTGTTGTTTTTTTTATTACTTTTATTACTGTTGCTTTTTATTATTATTGTTGTGATTGTTATTGTTACAGTGGTTGTTGTTTCTATCTTTGTTATTATGATCATTGTTATCACTGTTATCATTATCATTTTGATGATAATAATAATAGTGATGAAAATAATGGTAATAACAATAATTACTTTTATTATTATTATGATTATTATTATTACTATTATTAATATCATCATTTTAATTTTATCACTATCAATATCATCAACATATTCATTATCATCATTTATTTTGTTATCACGATTATCAGTGTTATTATTAAAATCATCATGGTCATTATTATGATATTGTCATTTACATTACTTGGTTTTAATATTGACATTTATAATGATAATTATCATCGTCATCATCATTATCATAATTATGATCATTATCATTATCGTCACAATTATCATTATCATTATCACTGTAATCCTTCTTATCACGATGATTATGATTACCTTTTCGATAGCACAGTATATCGAGACGGGAATTGGAAGCTCATATTACGCAACTGCAATCGTCCTGTGATATACCCTTTACTTTATGTGTTAAAGTCATTCATTTCTCCGAACCTGATATGATACGAGAACCTAACGAGTATAAATGGAAAATGAAACTTGAAAAATTACTTCAGATATAATCCATACTGTTTAACGTAAGTGTTTCATGATACAGAATGTTAATCATGATTGCTAAAACAATGTGATATTGTACGTAGAAATAATAAATAAGGATGTGTAAATACTTTTGTAAGATTATGTAATGTGATTTAAAGTGTCATATACGAAAGGTCTGTTTAATTATGTTAAATACAAGTTTATCACTGGAGCACAAAATGGGCCTCAGTTTAACACCTCAGACCTATTCCCCAATCTTCTCTGCTTCCTAATCTTTGTATGTAATGAATACTACAATAGGTTTTATGCATACTTTTATTTGATGTATTTATAACGTCTATACTATCTACGTGTTGAAATTCGGATAAGAAAAACCTTCGTATGTGATATTTATCGACGATATAATCTGAGTAATAATGATAATAATAATGATAATAATAATACTAATAATTATAAGAAGAAGAAGAAGAAGAAGAAAATCATCATGATTTTGACACGTACGATAATACCACCACTTGATTGCAAAAGAGAACACGAGTTCTTAGGTTGGAGATGCTAACCATTCACTTGTCCCCATAGGTCGGACTTTGCCACTTGATCAAACAAATGGTCATTTCTCGCCAAGAACCTCTGCCAAATTCTATTCTGCGAAATTTAGATGAACCCGCTTCCCAGGACACAGACACACACACACACACACACACACACACACACACACACACACACACACACACACACACACACACACACACACATATATATTATATATATATATATATATATATATATATATATATATATATATATACACATACATATACATACATATACACAATATACAAATGCGTTTGGTGTTGTGTATGTATATATATATGTATATAATATATATATATATATATATATATATATATATATATATATATATATATATATATATGTATGTATGTATATCGAGCATACACACACATATATAGTAAGAGAAAAAGATTAAGAGAGTACATACATGTATGTATCTTTTAGGACCGCGTACGCAGACATTTTCTATTATCTCCAAAAATCAGCCTGTTAAAGGAAATTCATCCTTATCTGACACAGAAGCTGAACGGAGGAAGGCCTAAGGAGAGATAATGACTTATTCTACTAATGACATCCGAAATAAAGAAACAAAAATAACAAGAAAAAAAGACATAAAATAATCGTAATCGCGTGACAGATAAGACGTTTCACGGGAGACCGCTAATATCCTATCGCATTAATATTTATTAGTAAGCCTGCAAAAGAACACTTACTCACTCGAATAATGATGGGTGATATAGGACAAGGATGGTATAAATACACGATATCTGATAATGAATTATGGTATATACCAGGATGGACAGCCTAATTATCTGACACTGCCACATGTTGATGTCCATATAGATAGAACACACTCAAGATGTCCATAATAAATAAGTCTGTGACGTAACGTGCAGAACAGCCAGCAACCACCGAAACAGAACAACAAGCAGCCTCAGACAGACATGGTAAAGTGACAAGATCAGAACCAAACAACAAAGCGCAGGAGGACAGACGAACA